GTCAAGTGGATTGATACTCAAGACTGAAGCTAGAGATTTATATACTAGTTTTAATTTTTTGAAAAATAATTTTTTTTAATTTTGATTTCATGTATTTATGACGATTTAAACTGTCATTGCCAGTTCTACAACTAGAGTCTATACTGCTGTGCAGCATGGCTAAATGAGCCACCAACATGTGCACACACCTTTTTATAATTAATGTACCGGTACAAAATATTTTGTGTAGAAATTCTAATTAAAATTTTAATTTTTAAGATTCCAAATTTATGTCAAGATGTCGATGTATCTATACTAGTTGAGTTTAGTAAAAGTTAAAATTTTTGTCATTAAAAATAAAATACTATTGAAGATTTTACCGACTCCAATCAATAGGAAAGGGAGCCTCCTAGTTGAACATGAACCAATTGCAGCCAGCCAGCCACCCACGTGTTCTCACATTTCAAAATGGCTGCTCAGTCAAAGTTAAGTGCTTTGTTTAAAGAGAAAAAAGAGAAGCTATCCATTCCTCCAGACCCACCACAAGGAAAGAAAGAACATCTTTAGACTTTTATAAAAGAAGGAAGTGAGCGGGACAGATCCGGCGGGGCGAGACTACAAAGAGACAGGATAGTTTACTGTAGGCTAGGACTGAGTACAACCCGGGATACTACTAATAACAAGAAATAAGAATGATCCTCGAAACCCTCGTACAGTATTTATTGGTAACATTCCTCTATCAACTAAAAAGAAGGACATACTCAAACTGGTCTCCGGTTCGGCTGAGTTCAGTGCTACAGCAACGATCAGTTGCAGTTTCTCCTGGCGGTAAACTTCCTGTTGAAGTTGCTAGGAAACTCAGAAAACAGCTGACAGGGACAACTACTAATTGCTATGTTGTTATGGAGACGGAGGAGTCTGCTAGTGCTTGTTTGGAGTTGAATGGATGAGAGGTTGACGGGAGGCATATTAGGGTTGATCTGGCCACACCTACTAATGACACTCACTGTTCTGTGTTTGTAGGTAATGTACCTTTTGGGGCCAATGAAGAGAAACTGAGAAAAGTATTTGAGTAAGTACATGTACATGTACATGTATCAGGGGCGTATCTAGGAATTGAAGAAGGGGGATGCTGAGGGTGCACGAAGCGTGCCATGATTTTGGCCACACCCACTTTTATGGCGGTAAAACTGCCTTTTCCTGCATTTTCGTCAATTACGGGTGGGGCCAAGATCATTTCAAGCATACTGCTATGTTACTGGTACTTCTGATTGCTCCTTAAAGCACTGGAAACTGCTGAAATAATGATAAGGTGGCTAGATAACTTTGTTAAGAGGCTTGGTAGTGATGCAAGAGTCTAGGACTTCAGTAATTTTTTCTGAGCCCAGCCCTGAGGGGGGTGCTCAAGCCCCCTCAGCCCCCCCTAAATTCCCCCCTTTGTGTATGTAGTATTTACGCAACGTTCATGTGCATAAAATATTATTAAAATGGAGAATTCTCTCCTTGAAATTTTTTGTCAAAGACCCTGTACAAGGGGCTATTGCTCAATTTTTGAGTAACTTTAGAAATAATATTTGTAAAAAAAAATCAAAACTTGATAGGAATCAGCTCAAACTTTCTACACAACATAAGAATATGTATATGCATCAGAAAATGTAATTAAAATGGGGAATTTAACCCTTGACATTTTTGGCAAAATTTGGCTTGAGACCCTGTACTATAATAGTACAGGGACTTTTGCCCGATTTCGGAGCAGCTCTGAAAATTTGTAAAAAAAATCCAAACTTGATCAGAATCAGCTCAAACTTTCTACATAACATAAGTACTATTGTACATTAGAAAATGTAATAAAAATGGAGAATTTTCTTCTAGTCATTTTTCATGAAATACCCTTTACTATTATTATTATACATGTATAATAATTATTTTTATAGAGCTGCAGTGATACACAAATGACAACTGCAGCAGCAATAGTGCAAAAACCAGAAATCATCTTATGATATTAGTTGCAGCTCATAAAGTAAAAAACAATAGAGAGTAAGAAAAGGGATGACTGAGATGAAAGTGACTTGAAGATCTGAAGAAAACGAAAAATAACTGAGTTTAAATAAAAGCCATGGCAAGAAGCATTAAAAAGTAGTTTCATTAGCATACCATGACATGTGAGAGGAGAGGGAATTAATATTTTTATATAAAAATTGGCTTTGAAAACACTTCTACACATAATTTTATTACCTGTTGTGAATGAAATTGCTGGAAAAATAAAAGTAGCCACGCACCTGTATGCCACCATTATCTATGGACGTTACAGCATAGCATCAGTTCAGTAGTCCTTGCAATGCCCTTGTAAAATTAAATCTTTAAAAACTTATAAACAACAAAAATTGTGTTCTAAAATAATTATTAAAAAGAAATTTCAAAGCAATTATGATTATACTGCTATGAATAATATTATGGAGAAGTTGTAAAATTATATCATACCCATTGACATGGCTTTAAAACACTATAAAATGAGGCTAAGAATGAGATTGAACAATTACATAATATTATGTACTCTTGATATAACTGTTAGTATGCAACTAGAGAAAACAGTGGAAATGCTCAAGCAAAATATTATTATTATATAACTGAAAGATGTACTAGCAAAAAAACAGTTGCAGTAGAAATTGGAAAACATATATGACTTTACCTGCATGCATGATGTGAATGAAACATTATAGCCATTCAAATGTACTGATTTTGTTGAACACTTAATAGCATGACACACATAGCATAATGGGGGCAATGAGAACATTCCAGTGTTGGTTTTGTATCTATCTAGCTACATTTATTGTTAGCTTCCCACTTGTTTCTTAGTAATTAAGGTTAAACAAACATATTAACATACACTCACTATAATTTTTCATTCACTTAATTGTCTGTCATCTCAGTCAGACAATTTTTCAAAAAGCAATCTAATAGACTTATATACTTAAATCATACCTACAGTATGATATACTTAAATCATACCTACAGTATGATGTGTGGGCGGATACCGTATATAAAATTAATGAAATTCATAGCTCTTGCAATTCTCACTCTTTGGTGGTCTATGTGTGCTGATTAAAAATACTGACAAAAGAGAAATAAAATATTTATTTCTAATATCTACAATAATCAAATGAAAGAAGCCTACAACTACTCATATAAAGCACACATGCACAGATGGCATCCCATATCTATTTAAGAGGAGGAAACAGAACAAAGCAACCACAACCTTAATTTCTGTTGATTTAAGTCAATTAATTATTGATACGACTCCAAATTATACGCACACTAGAGCAGTAGCTGCAGTATTAAACCACATATGCAACCCTACATACCAAGCACTACTACTTGGTAATAACAAAATCAAAAGCCCTTGAATTACAATGATCTGTACTAACATACAAACAAAAGAGTAGCATATATTTACATACTTTTTATATTTACATGCCTTTCCTTGTACTTAAAGGGTAACTGAAATGGTTTTTTTGAGGTATTTATTTATTGCTGGAACTTTTTAATGAAGTGTGACAACTCCCATTGTTCAAAAAAAATTATTCACTGAGATATGAGCTTTCAAAAATGCCCTTTTTGCTTCCTGCCATTTTACTTCCTGTTGGTGGGTGTGGCTAAACGTGACGTCATTTGGGACAGACTGGTGACTATAGTCGAGTCATAGATATTATAGACTACGTAACCGGGATTGGAAACTAGGTCACGTGATCCATTCAAACCAGTACAAACCGGCTGACACAGGGTCCGTGATTGGATTTTGGTGGGTGTGGTCAAAAAATGGCTACTCATCGACGACATTCAAAGGAAGACTGTATTTAAACCAATGTTGATTTTTTGTTATTTTAATAATATTTCAATACTTTAGTGTTTGTGTAATATGACTATAATGAAAAAAATAATGATACCATTGTTATTTTGCAAATATACTGTGATATTGTTCAAATTTTTGTTACTTGCAATTTTTCAAAACTTTTTGTACCTGTTGCTCCATTACACGCGTAAAAATAGACTAACAAGATCATTGGAAATGTTCCCACAATCATTGTGCATGGAACTGTCATAGTTTCATTTACTGATTTGCTATGTCAGAGGAGTAATATCTAAAATACTGTTTCTGCGAACAGTCCACTGTCGTACCTGTTACAGCTTTTACAAAACAAGCAGAGATTTCTCTTTTTGGGTGATGATAGGTTGATATTGTGTGCATGGAATTGGGGGGTTAGCATTTTAATTCATGCATTGCATTTGACTACAGTACTGCTTTAAAACCAAAAATTCATTATTTCCGCATGAAAAGCAAGCCACATGGTCAAATTTATTCTATTTAACGCCCAATTCAATCACGGACGTTGTCCACCAGGGAATCCTAGTTTCCAATCCCGGTTACGTAGTCTATAATATCTATGCTATAGTACTAATCCATTCCACCATTAGCTCTCATTATTCTAAGCATTCAACTGTATAAAAAAGACTCAAAATAGCAAACAAGAAGATTCACCAAAGTGTGGTATTATGACTTGTTCTTGCAATTGCACCTGTAACGAGAAATCTTATGTTAGTATTTGGGTTTGTACACTTCAATGACTTCATGATCCACAGTCACAGACTAAACAATCCACAAACTTTATTATTGCATCAAATTCCGATGTAGGAATCCAAGGAAGACTCATTCTCCTCCATGCACATTATGGACTAACAAGTAATATATAATCAATGACTGACTTAATTGGTTGTATGAAAACATTATAAACTTTCAAAGGAAATTATAATGCATGTTCAGTTCTAATTATCTAGCTACAAATATGTGCTGATTGACATCATCAGCCTTAGTGGCACCATAAGTACATATTTTACCTTATACATAAATGTACATGTATTACAGCTTAATTTACCTTTAAAAATATTAATTCATTTATTATCTCTTTCCTTTACCTCTCCTTCACTTTTGCTTTTGCTTTTCTATTAAATTATTCAGAATAAGATAGAATTAAAAAAAACCAAGGCAAAATAATAATGACGTTGTTTATGGTAATAAATAATTTTCCTTGTTCTCCAATAAAAATCAAGACAAAATTCTACTTAACAAAAATTAACTACTTGACTATTTCACTACCACAATGAAAAAGACCAAAAAATAATAATAAATCAGTTATTGCATGGAGCTGGTACATGTTCACCATTCATCCTCAGAACCTCACATGACATTGCAAGAAGTTTGAGTTTACAAATGCCAGAGCAATCTATAAAAGATACACAAGTTATAGAAAACAGATCATTCAACTTGACATAGCAGCACATGCATGGTACATTACATTATTGTCCATTCTCAAACACCTGGTATAAATTATTAACAGGCTACAGTTTTAAAAATGTTCAAAGCATAGGAATTGTGCTAACAATTAACAATAATGGCTTTAAAACTGTAGCTAGTTGTGGGAAGCCAAAAACAATAATGATACTAAGCAGTAGAACTGTCTATAAAATATTTAAAGTCATCACAATACAGGTTATGAAACAGACCAAAGCAATCATTTTTCCTAAATTTGATATCAGTTACTCTTACCAGGTCTTGGTGAAGTAGTATCACCAAAAGTAGTATTCAATGCAAATGAATTGATATCATTCAATCCAGCAATAGACAAGTACACATTAGGCATTGATGTCTGTCTCCTTCTACGACTTCCATCATCATCATCATCAGTAGTTGACTGTATATATAATTCTGGACTAATGAAATAATCAATGTCATTTCCATTGCTCATGACAGAGAAATCTTGTGTTAGCACATCCGGGTTTTGTACAGTAAATGATCCGCGAACCACCAAATTTCCCACTGTAATATCAATTTTTAGTGTCATTCCCATTGATGGAAACACATACACTAACAAACGAGATGATCCTTTTGGAAGGGTAGTGGCAATCTCTTTTCCAGTCTCAGATTCTGTTGAAGCTATAATAAAATTAATTTAGCATGAATATACATTATTAAAATCAATGACTTACATGCACATGTTGATACTCGTAATTGTATCAAAACAGCCTGAAAAGTATTTGATGAAAAACCACTGATAGTAAAAACACCTTGTTGGCCATCTGAAGCAATGGCAATTAACTCTGCATTACTGACACCAGTTCCAATACCAAAGGAGAAAACAGTAATCCCATCATCATGGACAGCTTGAGCAGATTGTACTGTTGCTGCAGCATTATTAGACATTCCATCAGTAAAAACAGCAGCTACACGAGGGATACCTTCACTAACACGAGCAGTAGCAAATGCTGTGCTTAGTAAATCCAATGCTGCAGCAGTATTTGTTCCTCCTGAAGTGTATGATATATCTCTAACAGCAGTAGCCAATTGTGAATAAGTATTAATGGAACCTAATTGGATAACAATCGATGGATTGCTTGAGTAACGAATAACTCCAACACGAGTGTCATTTGGTCCAATGGTAAAGTTAGACAGCATGTCTGCAACAAAGTTTTTCATTATCTCAAAGTTAGAAGACCCAACACTTCCAGATGCATCCAATAAAATAATAAAATCAAAAGCCCTTGCAGTACAATCTGTACAAATAGAAGAATAGCATATTTTTACACATTTATACTGAAGTACATACCTAAATAATCCTGTATAGCTGATACAAGAGAACTGTCAGGCCTATTGCACTGTGGAGCATCACTAAGGAATGTAGCAATCTGGAAAGGGCATGAAGCAGTTGTTGTTTTAATCTATAAGAGTAAAAATAATAATAATTAGAATAATAATAATAATAAATAATAATACTATAAATAATAATAATAATAATAACAACAAAAGACAACAACTGTAACAAAGAATCCCAAGGGAACTGTCAATAATCATGATGATGATGATCATGATCATGATAACCAGTTCAATAATCAACATCAAAGAGCCATCATCATAAGATCAAAGGAGACTCGATGATTAAATACACTTTTCCTACAATCTGACAATTTAAACCTTTCTACTCAGGAGTATTTGTTTAAGATATAATGAAACCACTTAATGAATCTGCCTCCCCTCTGTGATGTCTGTGGTGCCACTTTCCCTACCATTTATGCTCTAGATTGCAGAAAGGATGATCTTGTGTCCATGAGGCACAATGAGATCAGTGACCTCCTATGTGAACTGTCATCATTTGTTTTGAGTAATGTTATAATAAAAGAGTATAAGAGACAGTTTTTTAGGAGTCATTTACAACTCACTATGAACATCTCATGGCCGTCTGTGGTGTTTGGCAGAGGCAGTGTACTGCTGTGTTTGATGTCTGTATTCTAGATTCTGATTCTCCTTCTTATATTCTACTAAGTCTCCACAGTCAATTGTGGCTTCTACTTTGCTGCTTGTGAATCTAATCACTGTATGTAGTTTTACTCCTCTTTCAACAGTCTCTCAGTATAGAAAGGGACATTCATTATGGTGTCTTAATGAACTAAGTCTGTACCAAACCTCTTTTGCATCAAAGTTACTAAGGGCCATAAATCTATGTCTCAGAGGTACCTGATCCAGGTCAATATTGAATCAATCCTACCATCATGTCACTCTTACCAACTAGTACTTATGTCTACTTAGTTACAATATGTCTTATCAATACCGTGTGCTCTAAGACTATACACGTATGTATACTATTATCAATTTCCCTTCTTGTTTTTCTTTTTCTCATTGATAATAATCATGATGATAGTAATAATGATGGTAATAATAAGTGATAATAATGATACTAATGGACAATACTAATAGTGATAATGATAATAATACTAATACTTTCTTACCTGATTTAGTGAACTTTTATCCCAACTTTTATTATCATTATAAATTTTATCTTGAATACAATTAAGGTTCTGACATTGATCAGATAATAGTATATCTGAACAGAACCTATTATCAGTGTAACATTGAGGATGACTTGCAACAGCAAATGCCTCAAACTGTCCACAATCAGTATTTGCAGTATTATAGAGAGTACTGTTGACAATAGACTGCATCAAACATCTACGGACATTAGTAATCCATACTTGACCCTAAGATAATAATAAATTTATATATAAATGCATTCTATTTACTGCTTTGGTAAATACATGCACCAGCACCAGCTCCTTATTTATGTATGTGCAAATTAGCCTGAACATTGAGTTATTTATTGATTTAATATAACAAGTTGCTTTCTAAGAAAATTAATATTTCTAAAAGGATATTTTAGTTTTCACAGAATTTACAATACGGATATCAAAGAATTTGTAATTAAATTAGGTTGCATCACCTATAGGCCTACTAGGGAAATATTTACATACAAGGACATCAGACATCAAAGCTAACCGCTACTTAATCAAAATACTTATATGACAGATGTCACATATTTGTGACAATCCATTATAAGTCTTGGAGACAGCTGTCACATTATTGTGACACATTGTGTCACAAATATGTGACAGCTGTCTCCATGGTATTGCACAAATTCGTGACCTCTGTCTTTTAAGGGTTAATGATAACTTTCTAAATCTCTATGGCAACACTGTTGACTGAAATTCTATTCAAACTAACCCCTAAGTTAGTTAAATACTAGTAGGTTGTAGGGCACACATCACTGCAATCAGCGTACTTACTGCTGTTGTGAAGCAACTCGATTCATCAATGTATTTCTGACAGTAGCGTTTACCACGGCGAAGAGGATAATCTTTTGCATCACAGTTGAATTTAGTATGCAAGCAATCATAGAAACTGCAGTTACCATCATTGGCCAGAGCAGAACAGTTAGTATCTTGAGCTGTGCATTGATCAGTGATACACAATAGAATGACAACTGCAGCAGCAATAGTGGAAAAACCAGAAATCATCTTATGATATTAGCTGCAGCCTATAAAGGAAAAAACAGTAGAGAGGAAGAAAGGAGATGAGATGAGAGTGAGCTGGGAATCTGAAGAAAACAGAAAATAACTGAGTTTAAATAAAAGCCATGCAGGAAGCATTAAAGCTATCACAGGAAGTAGATTTTTAGTTTGATTAGCATACTGTGACATGTGGGAGGAACAGGGGATAAATATTTATATATAGAAATTGGCTTTGAAAATACTTTTATGCATGATTTTATTACCTGTTGTGAATGCAATGTTGGTATAACTCTAGACTTTGATGGTCAATCTTTAATGTACATGTACTTGTGTATGGTTGTTATTACTGTAACCACAATAATTATTGCTGATGCATGCACATTATTATGTAATATTGTGTAACTTTAGAACTTTCTAGACTCTGTGGTTTTATGTATATGTATCATGCTTCTTATTAATTTTTGTTGGTTGTTCAGTTATTGTTCAGTAGTTGCTTAGTTGTTGTTGTTCTCAGCAAAATAAAACAAAAGTAGCCATGCACCTGTATGCCACCATTATCTATGGTACAGCATAGCACCAGTTCAGTAGTTTATTTACAAATCATTAAAAGCTTATAAATTTTGTTCTAAAATATGACATATAAAAAGAAAGTTCAAGCCAATTATTAACAGATATTTATAGATACTGCTATGAATAATATTATGTAGAAGTTGCAAAAATAATATAATAACCATTGACACAGCTTCAAAACACCAAAATGAGGCTTAGAATCAGACTAAACAATTATATACAACTAGAGAAAACAGTTGCATTGAAAATTGGAAAATACCTGCATGCATGATGTGAATCAAAATATTAAAGCCATTCAATTATTTGAACACTAACAATATATAGTGATGACTGAGATACAACTCCAAATCACAGAATCACTAACATACACGAGAGCAGTAGCTGCAGTATCTTAAAATTGAACTAGACATATGCAGTCCTACATACAAAGCACTACCACTTGGTATAAATGGTAATGACTAATAACAAAATTAAAACCCTTTGAATGATTGCAATCTGTACTAACATAGCTAGATCTATTTAGATACCTTTCCCACTTAAAACCTTCCTCAAATAAAGGTTGAACTAACATACCAGTTTCTCATAATAAAAAGAGAAACTTTTTCATTTGCTTGTTTATCTGTTTCTCTGCCTTATTAGGAGCAATGCGTATGCAAATTTTAAAAGCCAAAATAGCTGACAAAATAGCTACAGCCTACAAAAAAGAAAATGAAATGTTCACTTACTTATAAAAAACAGCATAACCAATAAAAAGGAGCCTATAAAATACTGATACAAAATTGAACTTCAAGCTCCCCATATCTATGTAAAGAGAATGCTGGTACTTAATGAGAAATTTTGTGTTAAGTACAATTTTGTTTTGTAGATAACGACTCACAAACTAAACAATCCTGAACTTCAGTATTGAATCAAATTCACATGCAGGAGTCCACGAAGGATACATTCTCCTCCACATTATGGACTACATGTAGCCTTCAAGGTAAATGTATGCTAGGCAACATTTGTGGTTAGTTTGATCTTGTAAGCATCATGTTGCCAGAAATAGAAAGTTGTTCTATTTCTGGTAACATGTTGCTTACAAGATCAAAGTAACCACAAATTTACTAGCAGCATGTAGCCTAACTGCATGCCAATTTACTTTATACATAAATGTAAATGTATTTCAATTTAACATTAAATATGACTCTAATTCACTGACATACACGAGGGCAATAGCTGCAGTATCTATTACATTAAAATTAAACCACATATACAATCCTACATACCAAGGACCACCGCTTGGTTCAAAAGCCTTTGAATAGCTCTTGCACGGATATATTTAATAAACTGGTTTGCAGCTATGACTGTCCACCAGCCATGTTAAGGCTGATTCACACTTGCAACTTAACTTAAGGTAAGGCCTTAAGTTAAGACAGGAAATAGACTTGTGGGGCTAGACTTAAGTTTTAGAATAGATTCTCTTGATATCAACTTGCAATGTTTTGATTTGCATGGGCAAAGAATTGTATCAAATTCACACACACGAGTCTAGGAAATAATTGGACTCATTCTCTTCCACATTATAAACTACAAGTAATCATTCAAAGGAAATTAATTAACTGCATGCCAATACTGGTATGTGCTGATTGACATCATCAGCCTTAGTGGCACCAAGAGTAGTCTACATATTCACTTTATACAAAAATGTACATGTATTAGAGATTAATTAAATGACAATGTATTATGGTAATAAACAATTCTCCTCATTTTCTCTACAATAAAACTCTAAAACAAAACTTGACAAAAATTAACTACTTAACTATTTCACTACCACAATAAAAAAGACCAAAAATAAAATAAATCAGTTACGGCATGGAGCTGGCACATGTTCACCATTCATCCTCAGAACCTCACATGACATTGCAAGAAGTTTGAGTTTACATATGCCAGAGCAATCTATAAAAGATACACAAGTTACATAAAACAAATAATTGAACATTATAATTAAAGCACGTCATGTTGCATCATATTATTGTCCATTCTCAAAACACCTGGTGAAATATACAGTACATAAAATTATCAACAGGCTACAATGCAAACAATTGAAAATGTTTAAAGCATAGGAGTTGTGAGGGCATTAGTAAAAGTAAAAATGAAACGAAACCAGAAATGTAAAAGAAACGCCAAAAAAGCAATCTCCCAATACAGTTAGAAGGCCTCTGGTTATGTTAGAAGTCCCTATAAGGTTGGATTTAGGGTTTAGTTTTTTTTTTAATTTTAAGAGCATACCCTAGTCATGGTAGAAGTTTGACATATGTTAGGACTACCCTAGTTTTTGTTTTATGTTGTTCTGGTTCCTTTCTGTTTCTAGTTTCGTTTCGTTTTCACTTTTACTAGTGCCCAGAGTTATGGTAACAAATAACAAAAATTAATAATAATGGCTAAAAACTATAACTAGTTGTGGGGAACCCAAAAGAACAATAATAATACTAAGCAATAAAACAGGTATAATAAGTATAATCTAGGTAATAATACTTAGAGTTATGAAGATACTAACAGGTAATAAAAATTATAAACAAGGACTCATAAAACAAAGCAAAGCAATCATTATTCTTAAATCTGATATCAGTTACTCTCTTACTAGTAGTATCACCAAAAGTAGTATTCAATGCAAATGAATTGATATCATTCAATCCAGCAATAGACAAGTACACATTAGGCATTGATGTCTGCCTCTTTCTACGGCTTCCATCATCATCATCATCATCATCATCAGTAGTTGACTGTATATATAATTGTGGACTAATGAAATAATTAATGTTAGTTCCATTGCTCATGACAGAGAAATCTTGTGTTAGTGCATCTGGGTTTTGTACAGTAAATGATCCACGAACCACCAAATTTCCCACTGTAATATCAATTTTTAGTGTCATTCCCATTGACGGAAACACATACACTAACAAACGAGATGATCCTTTGGGAAGGGTTGTGGCAATCTCCTTTCCAGTCTCAGATTCTGTTGAAGCTATAAATTATTTTTATTAGTATAAATTCACAATATTAAAAAATTAGTGACTTACACAAACATGTTGATACTCGTAATTGTATCAATACAGCCTGAAAAGTATCAGATGAAAAACCACTGATAGTAAAAACACCTTGTTGACCATCTGAAGCAATGGCAATTAACTCTGCATTACTGATATCACTTCCAATACCAAAAGAGAAAACAGTAATCTTGTCATTATGGACAGCTTGAGCAGATTGTACTGTTGCTGAAGGATTATTAGACAATCCATCAGTAAGAACAGCAGATACCTTCACTAACACGAGCAGTAGCAAATGCTGTGCTTAGTAAATTCAATGCTGCAGCAGTGTTTGTTCCTCCTCCAGTGTATGATATACCTCTAATAGCACTAGCCAACTGTGCATAAGTATTATTGGAACCCAATGGGATAACAATTGATGGAGTGTCAGCAAAACGAATGACTCCAACACGAGTATCATCTGGTCCAATGGTAAAGTTAGACAGCATGTCTGCAACAAAGTTTTTCATTATCTCAAAGTTACTAGACCCAACACTTCCAGATGCATCCAATAAAATAATAAAATCAAAAGCCCTTGCAGTACAATCTGTACAAAGAGAAGAATAGCATACTTTTACACAGTACTGAAGTACATACCTAAATAATCCTGTATAACAGATACAAGAGAAGTGCCAGGCCTATCACACTGTGGAGCATCAGTAAGGAATGTAGAAATCTGGGAAGGGCACGAACCAGTTGTTGTTTTAATTTATAAAAGTAGAATAATAATAATAATAATAATAATAATAATAATAATAATAATAATAATAATAATAATAATAATAATATTAATAGCTCATACTTTCTTACCTGATATAGTGAAGTTCTACTCCAACTTTTATTATCATCATAAATTTTATCTTGAATACAATTAAAGTTCTGACATTGAGGTGATAGGAATATATCTGTACAGAACCCATTATCAGTGTAACATTGAGGACGACTTCCAACAGCAAATGCCTCAAACTCGCCACAATCAGTATTTGCATCACTATAGAGAGCACTGTTGACAATAGACTGCATCAAACACGTACGGACACTAGTAATCCATGCCTGACCCTAAGATAATAATAAATTCATATAAAAATGCATGCTTTGGTTGTATGCTTCAGCTCTACTATAAAATGCAGTTTATTAATTACATACTGATTATAGATTTATTTAATTAATTTAATTTATATTTTGCTTTCTAAGAAATATTCTTGAAAGGATGCTTTAATTTTCACAGAATTTACAAAAGAACTTGTAATTAAATTTGGTTACATCATGTTTTGGGAAATGCATGCTTCAGCTCTACTGTTGTTTATGTACATGCAAAATTGATTAGCCTAAACATGGAATTATTTAATTATAATGCTGCTTCCTATGAAATATTCTTCAAAGGATGCTTTAGTTTTAATAGAATTTTCAATGAGGATATCAAATAATTTGTAATTTACATTAGGCTGCATTATGTTGTCGTTTTCTAGGCATCATGTACATACAAAAACATGATATCAAAGCTACCTGCTACTTGTTCAAAGCAGCTTTAATGATAACTTTCTGCATCTATATAGCAACTCTGTTGACTGAAATTTTTTGACAGTACATCAAAATAACCCCCCAGTTGCTTTCAACAAAGTTTAATACTAGTAGGTTGTAGGGCACACATCAATGCAATCAGTGTACTTACTGCTGTTGTGAAGCAACTTGATTCATCAATGTATTTCTGACAGTAGCGTTTACCACGGCGACGAGGATAATCCTTTGCGTCACAGTTGAATTTAGTATGCAAACAATCATAGAAACTGCAGTTACCAGCACTGGCCAGAGCAGAACAGTCAGTACCTTGAGCTTCAGTGATGCACAATAGAATGACAACTGCAGCAGCAATAGTGGAAAAACCAGAAATCATTTTACAATATTAGCTGCAGCCTATTAAGTTAAAAAGCAAAAGAGAGCAAGAGGATGAGAGTGAACTGCGAAACTGAAGAAAACATAAACTAAATGAGATTAAATATAATCAATGATAGGAAACATTAATACTAACTTACAGGAAGTATCTAGTGTCATGCATCTAGATCTAGACAGAAGCATGCATTGCCAGCAGGGATGAATATCTTTATTTATGCCTTTAAAAGCATGCATATAAAATTGGCTTTGAAATTCATTCACATTAAATTATGATTTACCATCATAAGTACCATTGAGCTGGAATACTGGTACCTAATAAGAAATTTTGTGCTAGTGCATTTGGATTTGTACACTAAACAATCCATAAACTAAAATGATCCATGAGCTCTGATTAGCTGCAAATATTCACTGATTACTTTAGTGGCACCAAAAGTACATATTTACTTTATGCATAGATGTTTCCCCAATCTCCATTAATAAGTATTTCTAGTCTTCTAACATTTGGACCATTGCCATTCACTAGACGTGCCTGACCATGAGAGCAAACCTACAGAAGGTATATGTTTTACCATGCAAAGCAACTAAATCTATCCAGACATATCAACACGATTAAAAACAGACAGCTTACCAACTACCAATAATACCTAAGCAGAAAGAAACAAAGCCAGGAGAGACATGTAGATACCAGTTGACTGACTACAACTCTAGTCTAGATCTGAACCAAAGGGCTTTATAATTAAACTTTAATTAGCATGCATGTCATTAGTGGCTATGTGAGACTATTGATAGCAGATCACTGGTATGAATAGTAAACAAAAGCAGACTCTACAAAGTTCCCACTATAGGAATTAAGTGCACATAGGCATAATTGGCTATAGCTCTGAAATCATTGATATTGTTTTCAGCATGAAAACAAAACTAACACTCAAGCTGTTTCACATTATACATTCTACAAAAATATACTGATACATAGATCTAGTCACAAACATCATTTTCTTTTACAGTACAAGTATTATTAATGTCAGTAAAATCAAGGTAGCCAGCCAATGGTTCAATGAGTGCATTTATTGAAGAAACTATATCACTGAACATTGGCCTATCATTAGGAGACTCTGACCAACAAGATAGCATCAGCAAGTAACTGCGTCAAAGAAATCATAAATTATTAAAGGCATGTGTTTATTATGTTCTTACATTTCCTGTGAGCAGGCTCCATTATGTGGACACAGCAATCGTCCACCAGTATCTAATAACTCCACTACTCCTATTGGATCCAGACCAGGATATGGTACTTTACCAAGACTGAACACTTCCCAACAAAGAACACCATAAGACCACTGTAAATAAAAAAAGATTACATTAATAAATTAGTGATTGCATGATTGAGTGTAAATGCAAATGAATACTTACAACATCTGATTTTTCAGAGAACAGTCCATCATGAAGGCTCTCTAATGCCATCCATTTCACTGGTAGTTTAACTGTTGATGATCCTGAGTTATTATCACTGCACTTTAGTTGCCTGAAGTAATTGTAGGCATTTATGTCTTCAGATAGTCCAAAATCTGCTACTTTAATAATACCATTATCATCAATCCTATGGAATACATAAATGTAAATGAGACACCTACCATGCTTGGACTCGCCACTGCTGATTTTGCATCAATAATGCATTGTTAAAACTGAGTGATAAATTGTGATTCATGGTAAAAAAAAGAAATGTGTACAAAAACTAGTAAATCATGTTTTTAATGAGCATGCAGCTATACTCATGCATTGACTCCATGGTTTAGTAGGCACATTGCACTCTATTATAATTTATAAAACAAATTACTACAGCTAGGAACATACCGTATAGCCAAAAAATTTCGTGAGGAATAAATTTTCGTATTTTCGTGATCACTGGTTGCATCACGAAAAATTAAACCCCCGAAAATAAATATTAATTGAGAGGCGTGGTTAACCACGCCTTACTAATAAACGTGCGCGCCCTCGTGTCAAGTCCTGTTCTCGGTCAAGCTGATGTCTCTGTTACTCTGTATTGCTATTTTAAGCATACTGCCTAGGTCAAAGATGATGATCTTCCCCATCTCTGGTGTCCACACTGATTTGTAGACACGGTGCCCCTTGACACACATGACACAAGACTGTGACAAGAGTCCGCCCCAAACACTGAATCTGCCATGTTTTATTTAAATAAGGCGTGGTCATTATTATTATTAAAATAAAATCACGAAAATATTTATCACGGAATTTAAAATTTCTCTATAAATTTCATTATTCACGAAATTTTAAGCCTCGAAAATTTTTGGCTATACGGTATTTTATTGCCTCTAGGGGTCAGGGCCCTAGGAAGCAACTACATTGTGTCCCTTCCCAAAATTTCCTTTTATTTTCTTGCTATTTTTATAAAGATTCCTACTTTAGCTTTTATAGTGACAGGATGTGATCATTCATTGTGAGTTGTACTCATTACATCAACCAGATCATGCAATCTTCGGAGTGGTCAGTAGTTTTGTGTAGCCAGACCCATCCCCTTTTTGACAATTGGTAAATTGCTAATTTTGATTGGCGAATTTGAACATGGCTCAAAATGGCAGGTTTCTATTTTGGCAAATGGCTAGCAAAACGTCAAATTTAACTCCCTCCAAAATTTACCACTATAATGGTATTAAATTCTCTTATATAATTTCTGCAAAATTGATTACTAGTGAAATTAAGGTGATAGTGAAAATATTTCTTAAAATTGATGTTGAAAAGACTTACATGCAATTTCTAGCAGCAAGATCACGATGAATGAACCTCTGTGAAGCTAAGTAAGACATTCCATTGGCAACTTGTAAACAAATGGAGAGCAACTGTTTTCTGACATTCAGTATAATATCCTCTTCACTGGTATCAGCTACGGTAAGATTAGGCCTCTCTTTCTTGAGGTAAGACAATAAACTTCCCCTTGACATGAAAGGCATGATAATGTATGGAGCTGGTCCAAGATCAAGACACACACCAATCAGTGGTAATACATTTAAATTATTGAATGGCATCATTTTAATACATTCATCCAGCAATGAGTCAATGTCGCTCTCTTTATAAAAACCTACAACAAAAGGAAATGAAATATTCATATTATAAACTGATGTAACTATGTATTTAATATGTAACTGAGTCAAAATAGTTTATAGAGTAAATTAATAATTATTTTAATCATTGACAATATTATTACCTTTTAATGTCTTCATGGCAACTGATTTAGGTATTTCATTCTTTATCGTCATCACTCCACGATAAACTATACCAAACTCACCTAAAGAGTACAAAATTAAAGTTATTATTGCTATGACAGTTAAAGAATCCCCAATTAAACCTTGTCCAATAGTTTCTTGCATGCTTATGGTCGACCCTGATACTATATAATTTGAGAGCTGTTCCATATTAATTGATAAAATCTCAATAGGTTTGCTAGAGTTGTAAGTGCTCTCTTTCATGTCTCTTTTCAAAGCTAATTATTATATAGAAAGTGAATTATTCAGATTATCAAAAGCAAAAATAGTATTCAGATTACTTACATGAAGAAGGAGTAGAACTTGGAATTTCTGCCATTGCAAGTTGCTTTTTTTGTTTACGATTCCTTCTCTTCATAATCATATAGGTTACAAAGAGCATTACAGTTAACACTATACACACTACTAGAAATGTAACTATTCCTGATATGATGATAGACATTAGCTGATTTGAGACAGATGGTGTGTCACTGGTACTAATAACAGATGATTGAGAAATAGTAATTTCTGTTGCTGTTGTTGTATGAATAGTATGAGTAGTTTGGATTATTATTGAATGGTTGGCAGACATAGTGGCACTAGTGGATGTATTAGCCATGACTATAAAAAGAATAACTCCTTTTAATGTATAATCATAGTAACTCACATTACTAAATAAACATGCTAAATTAATATTGTTAATCATTCATTTGTAAACAAAAAACTGACAGAACAGTTACTTGTTATGACGGTTGATCTGGGTAGAATTACACCTTCATCTGAACAACAGCCGCTATACTCTATTTGTTCTATACAAACTCTTAGCACCTCGTGTAAAATCAAGAGGTAAGTGATTCTTAGGCAATTATATCTTCAAAACAAAAAGTTCAAGCAAAATGCTACTTTATTATTCAGATATTAAAGCCACGGTTTCTGCGACTCTTGAGAAATATCTGTGATCTATATACTATGAAGTCCTGTTACTCAAAGCATGCAAGAATCTATCGAGAAACTGCTAATTTTGGCAAGACTGATGGCTTTTGGTGCCGTCTACTGCCATTTCTACTTGATAAAGTAGTAGAAGCAACTTTGTCTAGCCTGTAGAGAAGTTATGGAGATCTATGATGGGAGAACCCCTTTAAAACCACAGAACCTCAAAGTGAGAGTTGTGGTGGATAGAAATACTGAATGATATTATCCTCACCCACGTTAAGCCAAAAAACGATAACGATAATGATACTAAGCAGCACAACAGCCAACATGAAAAGCCTATAGAATAATACCTAGAGTCTCGACAATGCAGGCTACAAAAATTATCATCACCATTATTACTATTACTATTATTTATTATTATTATTAAACAACCTTACAGCACATACAAAATATACAACAAGAATAGAACTTTTAAGTGATAAGAATCCTGCAATAGACAAGAAGGACTGCATGTAAACAGCCTTTAAAAATTTTTCAAAGGCTGTAAATTTTGCAAATTAGCCTAATCATCTATAGGCTATGAAAAACAAGAAACAGGTTGTGAAATATAATATTTGGCACAGGGACAACAAACATGATAGGTACAAGGATTCGAAGGGTTAAAATGATAAAACAAGGACTCATAAAAAAGCAAAGCAGCCATTACTCTTAAAGGTGGATTTACAATATTAGGCTAGTCCTGACGTTACGTTGATGCTGGAATAGAATCTGGTTCTATTCCAGTGGAAAGTATGTGTTAAAAGGTCAAATCGGCTTTGCTTTTGATTAAAAATTGACGGTACACTGACCTAATGTCATATTGTAAATCCGCCTTAAATCTGATATCAGTTACTCTCTTACCAGGTATTGGTGAAGTAGTATCACCAAAAGTAGTATTCAATGCAAATGAATTGATATCATTCAATCCAGCAATAGACAAGTACACATTAGGCATTGATGTCTGCCTCTTTCTACAACTTCCATCATCATCATCATCATCGTCATCATCAGTAGTTGACTGTACATATAATTGGGGACTAATGAAATAATCAATGTCATCGCCATTGCTCATGACAAAGAAATCTTGTGTTAGTGCATCTGGATTTTGTACAGTAAATGATCCACAAACCACCAAATTTCCCACTGTAATATCAATTTTTAGTGTCATTCCCATTGATGGAAACGCATATTGTAACAAACGAGACGATCCTTTTGGAAGGGTAGTAGTGATTTCTTTTCCAGTCTCAGATTCTGTTGGGGCTATAAAATAATTTTATTAGCATAATTTGACATAAAATCAATGACTTACATGAACATGTTGAGACTCGTAATTGTATCAAAACAGCCTGAAAAGTATCAGATGAAAAACCACTGATATTAAAAACACCTTGTTGACCATCTGAAGCAATGGCAATTAACTCATTGTTACTGATACCACTTCCAATACCAAAAGAGAAAACTGTTATTTTGTCATTATGGACAGCTTGAGCAGCTTGTACTGTTGCTGAAGGATTATTAGACATTCCATCAGTAAAAACAGCAGCTACACGAGGGATACCTTCACTAACACGAGCAGTAGCAAATGCTGTACTTAGTAAATCCAATGCTGCAGCAGTGTTTGTGCCTCCTTGAGTGTATGTTATA